GCGGCCTTTTTCACCCGAAAATCGATCTTTTTGACCCTTTTTACCCCAAAATTGGCCTTTTTCACCCCAAAATCGATCTGAACCTTTTTTCCCCAAAATCAGCCTTTTTCGCCCCAAAATCGATCTTTTTCACCTTTTACCCCAAAATCGGCCTTTTTCACCCCAAAATCGATCTTTTTGACCTTTTTTACCCCAAAATCGGCCTTTTTCACCCCAAAATCGATCTTTTTCATCCTTTTTTACCCCAAAATCGGCCTTTTTCACCCCAAAATCGATCTTTTTCACCCTTTTTTACCCCAAAATCGATCTTTTTCACCATTTTTTACCCCAAAATCGGCCTTTTTCACCCCAAAATCGATCTTTTTCACCCTTTTTTACTCCAAAATCGATCTTTTGGACCCTTTTTCACCCCAAAATCGATCTTTTTGACCCATTTTACCCCAAAATCGGCCTTTTTTCGCCCCAAAATCAGCCTTTTTTACTCCAAAATCGATCTTTTTGACCCTTTTTTCCCCAAAATCGACTTTTTTTGCCCCCAAATCAACTTTTTCAACCCTTTTTCACCCCAAAATCGATGTTTTTGATCCTTTTTACACCAAAATCGGCCTTTTTCACCCCAAAAATGCCCCTTTTCACCCCAAAATCGGTGGGTTCCCCCCATTTCCCACCACAATCCCGTGTTTTCCCGCCACCCTGGGTGTTTTCCCGCCACCAGCCCCTAATTTCCCGCCATCTCTCCTATATTTCCCGCTACCACCCCATATTTCCCGCCACAATCCCATCTTTTCCCACCACCCCCCCATTTCCCACACTCCCCCCCCATTTCCCACCACCTCCCCTATATTTCCCGCCACCACCCCTCATTTCCCGCCACCTTCTCTATATTTCCCACCACCCCGGGTGTTTTCCCGCCACCACCCCTACATTTCCTGCACTCCCACTCCCATTTCCCGCCACCCCCCCAATTTCCCGCCACTTCCTCTATATTTCCCGCCACCACCCGCCATTTCCCGCCACCACCTCTGTATTCCCTGCCACCTCCTCTACATTTCCCGCCACCACCCCGCATTTCACACACTCCCTCCCAATTTCCCACCACTTCCCCTATATTTCCCACCCCCACTGGCTGTTTTCCCGCCACCACCCCCCATTTCCCGCACTCTCACCCCATTTCCCGCCACCTCCCCCAATTTCCCACCACTTCCTCTATATTTCCCGCCACCCCTACATTTCCCGCCACCACCCCCCATTTCCCGCACTCCCTCCCCATTTCCCGCCACCCTGGGTGTTTTCCCGCCACCCCTCCAATTTCCCGCCACTTCCTCTACATTTCCCGCACTCCCTCCCCATTTCCCGCCACTTCCTCTATTTTCCCGCCACTTCCCCTCTATTTCCCGCCACCACCCCCCATTTCCCGCACTCCCTCCCCATTTCCCGCCACCCCCCCAATTTCCCGCCACTTCCTCTATATTTCCCTCCAACCCCGGGTGTTTTCCCACCACCACCCCCCATTTCCTGCCACCCCCCCAATTTCCCACACTCCCTCCCCATTTCCTGCCCTCTCCCCCATTTCCCGCCACCTCCTCTATATTTCCTGCCACCACCCCCCATTTCCCACCACCCCCCAATTTCCCGCCACTTCCTCTATATTTCCTGCCACCCCCATGTATTTTCCCGCCACCTCCCCATATTTCCTGCCACAACCCCAACTTTTCCCGCCACCACCCCCCATTTCCCGCACTCCCACCCCATTTCCCACCACTTCCTCTATATTTCCCGCCACCACACTTACATTTCCCGCCACCCCTCCCATTTCCCGCACTCCCACCCCATTTCCCGCCACCACCCCCCAATTTCCCACCACTTCCTCTATATTTCCCGCCACCAACCCCATTTCCCGCACTCCCACCCCATTTCCCGCCACTTCCTCCCCCAATTTCCCGCCACCACCCCCCCAATTTCCCGCCACCTCCCCATATTTCCCGCCACAACCCCATCTTTTCCTGCCAACACCCCCCATTTCCCGCCACCACCCCCAATTTCCCGCCACTTCCCCTATATTTCCCGCCAACACCCCTATTTCCCGCACTCCCACCCAATTTCCCGCCACCCCTACATTTCCCGCCACTTCCTCTATATTTCCCGCCACCACCCCCATTTCCCGCACTCCCTCCCCATTTCCCACCACTTCCTCTATATTTCCCCCCACCTCCCCCAATTTCCCGCCACCACCCCCATTTCCCACACTCCCACCCCATTTCCCGCACTCCCACCCCATTTCCCGCCACTTCCCCCTATATTTCCCGCCACTTCCTCTATATTTCTCTACATTTCCCACCACCACCCCCCATTTCCCACACTCCCACCCCAGGTGTTTTCCCGCCACCTCCTCTACATTTCCCGCACTCCCACCCCATTTCCCACCACTTCCTCTATATTTCCCGCCACCACCCCCCATTTCCCGCACTCCCACCCAATTTCCCTCCACCTCCCCCAATTTCCTGCCACCCCTCCAATTTCCCGCCACCTCCCCATATTTCCCGCCACAACCCCATCTTTTCCTGCCACCCCTCCAATTTCCCACCACCTCCCCATATTTCTCGCCACAATCCCATCTTTTCCCACCACCCCCCCATTTCCCACACTCCCACCCCATTTCCCACCACCCCCCCAATTTCCCGCCACTTCCCCTATATTTCCCGCTCCCACCGGCTGTTTTCCCGCCAACACCCCCCATTTGCCACACTCCCACCCCATTTCCCACCACTCCTGGTGTTTTCCCGCCACTTCCTCTATATTTCCCGCCACCACCCCCCCATTTCCCGCCACTTCCTCTACATTTCCCGCCACCTCCCCCAATTTCCCGCCACCTGGGGTCATTGGGTCCCGCCATGGGGCTCTTTCCCGCCATGCCGGGCACATCGATGTGATCCCGAAGCACCAGGAGCTGCCCCGGTTCCAGCCCCGCTCGCAGGCTCCCGGCGGCGTTGGTGAGGACCACGGTGTGGGCCCCGAGCAGGGCCAGAGTGCGCACGGGCAGCGCCACCTGCGCGGCACCGCAGCTATGGGGCTGGCAATGGGAGCTATGGGGCTGGGAATTGGATCTATGGGGCTGGAGGTTGGATCTATGGGGCTGGAGGTTGGATCTATGGGGCTGGAGGTTGGATCTATGGGGCTGGAGGTTGGATCTATGGGGCTGGAGGTTGGATCTATGGGGCTGGGAATGGGAGCTATGGGGCTGGAGGTTGGATCTATGGGGCTGGGAATGGGAGCTATGGGGCTGGGAATGGGAGCTATGGGGCTGGAGGTTGGATCTATGGGGCTGGAGGTTGGATCTATGGGGCTGGGAATGGGAGCTATGGGGCTGGGAATGGGATCTATGGGGCTGGAGGTTGGATCTATGGGGCTGGGAATGGGAGCAGGGCTATGGGGCTGAATGGGAGCTATGGGGCAGCGCCACCTGCGCGGCACCGCAGCTATGGGGCTGGGAATGGGAGCTATGGGGCTGGAGGTTGGATCTATGGGGCTGGGAATGGGAGCTATGGGGCTGGAGGTTGGATCTATGGGGCTGGAGGTTGGAGCTATGGGGCTGGAGGTTGGATCTATGGGGCTGGGAATGGGAGCTATGGGGCTGGGAATGGGAGCTATGGGGCTGGAGCTATGGGGCTGGCAATGGGAGCTATGGGGCTGGAGGTTGGAGCTATGGGGCTGGCAATGGGAGCTATGGGGCTGGAGGTTGGATCTATGGGGCTGGAGGTTGGATCTATGGGGCTGGAGGTTGGATCTATGGGGCTGGAGGTTGGAGCTATGGGGCTGGAGGTTGGAGCTATGGGGCTGGAGGTTGGAGCTATGGGGCTGGGAATGGGAGCTATGGGGCTGGAGGTTGGATCTATGGGGCTGGGAATGGGATCTATGGGGCTGGAGGTTGGAGCTATGGGGCTGGGAGGCCAACCACATGCTATGGGGCTGAGGCTCTATGGGGCTGAGGTTGGAGCTATGGGGCTGGACCCACATCTATGGGGCAGGAGGGGGTCAGACCCACATCTATGGGGCAGGAGGGGGTCAGACCCACATCTATGGGGCAGGACCCACATCTATGGGGCTGGGACCCACATCTATGGGGCTCAGACCGGAATCTATGGGCCTGTACCCACATCTATGGGGCAGGACCCACATCTATGGGGCTGGGACCTGAATCTATGGGGCAGGACCCACATCTATGGGGCTGGGACCCCCATCTATGGGGCTGGGACCCGAATCTATGGGGCTGGGACCCACATCTATGGGGCTGGGACCCAACATCTATGGGGCTGCTACCTGGAATCTATGGGGCTGGGATGGGACATCTATGGGGCTGGAGGTGGGACATGGGGCTATGGGACTATGGGGCTGGAGGTTGGATCTATGGGGCTGGGAGGACACACATTGGAGCTATGGGGCTGGGAATGGGGCTGGAGCTATGGGGCTGGGATGGGGCTGGATCTATGGGGCTGGGACCCAGGTTGGATCTATGGGGCTGGGACCCCCAGCTATGGGGCTGGGACCCACATCTATGGGGCTGGGACCCAATCTATGGGGCAGGACTATGGGGCTGGGACATCTATGGGGCTGGGACCCCCATCTATGGGGCAGGACCCACACGTATGAGGCTGGGACCCACATCTATGGGTCTGGGACCCATATATATGGGGCTGGGACCCGCATCTATGGGGCTGGGACCCACATCTATGGGGCTGGGACCCACATCTATGGGGCTGGGACCCCCATCTATGGGGCTGGGACCCCCATCTATGGGGCTGGGACCCACATCTATGGGGCAGGGACCCACATCTATGGGGCTGGGACCCACATCTATGGGGCTGGACCCCCAAGTGTGGGGCTCACCTGGGCGGGGCTGTAGCCCTCATAGAGGTGGAAGCGGCCCTGCAGCACCGCACAGGGGCAGCCCCCCAGGGTCCCCACCAGGAGGCGCCCGGCGTGGCCTTGAACTGAGGGGGGGGTCAGACCCATAGGGACCCATAGAGACCCATAGAGACCCATAGAGACCCATAGAGACCCATAGAGACCCCATAGAGACCCCATAGAGACCCCATAGAGACCCATAGAGACCCATAGAGACCCCATAGAGACCCATAGAGACCCATAGGGACCCCATAGAGACCCATAGAGACCCATAGAGACCCATAGGGACCCCATAGAGACCCATAGAGACCCATAGAGACCCATAGAGACCCCATAGAGACCCATAGAGACCCCATAGGGACCCATAGAGACCCATAGAGACCCATAGGGACCCATAGGGACCCATAGAGACCCATAGAGACCCATAGAGACCCATAGAGACCCATAGAGACCCATAGAGACCCCATAGAGACCCATAGAGACCCCATAGGGACCCATAGAGACCCATAGAGACCCATAGAGACCCATAGGGACCCATAGGGACCCATAGGGACCCATAGAGACCCATAGAGACCCATAGAGACCCATAGGGACCCATAGAGACCCATAGAGACCCATAGAGACCCATAGGGACCCATAGGGACCCATAGAGACCCATAGGGACCCATAGAGACCCCATAGAGACCCATAGAGACCCCATAGAGACCCATAGGGACCCATAGGGACCCATAGAGACCCCATGGGGACCCATAGAGACCCATAGGGACCCATAGGGACCCCATAGGGACCCATAGAGACCCCATAGAAGCCCCACTGACCCCCATAGCCACTTCATAGAGTACCATAGAGCTACATAGACCCCCATGGAACCCCATAGAGACCCCACAGAACCCCACATATCCCCATAGAAGCCCCATAAAGCCCCATAGAAACCCTATAGACCCCCACAGACCCCCATAGAAACCCCATAGACCCCCCATAGAGCCCTATAGACACCCCATAGACACCCACAGACCCCCAAAGACCCCTTGTAAAACCCCATAGACCCATAAAAAACCCCAAAGAGACCCTATAGACCCCTATAATCCCACACAGACCCCCCCCATAATCCACCATAGACCCCCCATAGCACCCAACAGACATCCTATAGACACCCCATAGCCCCCCATAGACCCCCATAGACACCCATAGACCCCCCATAGAGCCCCATAGACCCCCATATCCCCCCATAGAGCCCCATATCCCCCCACAGCCCCCCATAGCGACCCCATAGCCCCCCATAGACACCCCATAGACACCCCCATAGACCCCCCACAGACCCCCCCCATAGCCCCCCCCATAGACACCCCATAGACCCCCCATAGACCCCACAGACCCCCATAGAACCCTATAGACACCCCATAGAACCCTCACAGCCCCCCATAGAGCCTTATAGACACCCCATAGAACCCCAGAGACACCCCACAGACCCCCATAGACCCCCCAAAGACCCATAGAGCCCTACAGACACCCCATAGACCCCCATAGACACCCCAAAGACCCCATAGACCCCCATAGAGCCCTATAGACACCCCATAGACCCCCCATAGAGACCCCATAGACACCCCATAGACACCCCATAGACCCCCCATAGAGACCCCATGAGACCCCATAGACCCCCATAGAGACCCCATAGACACCCCATAGCCCCCCATAGACCCCCCATAGATCCCCCCCCCATAGGACCCCATAGACACCCCATAGACCCCCATAGACCCCCATAGAGCCCCCACAGACCCCCCATAGACCCCATAGACCCCCATAGACCCCCATAGACCCCCATAGACCCCCATAGACCCCCATACCCCCCCATAGACCCCCATAGACCCCCATAGCCCCCCCATAGACACCCCATAGACACCCATAGACCCCCATAGACACCCCATAGACCCCAATAGCCCCCCATAGCCCCCCCATAGCCCCCCCATAGACACCCATAGACACCCCATAGACCCCATAGACCCCCATAGAGCCCCCCATAGACCCCCATAGAGCCCCATAGACACCCCATAGACCCCCATAGACACCCAGTGATCCCCATATAGACCCCATAGACCCCCCACAGACCCCCATAGAGCCCTATAGACACCCATTGACCCCCATATAGACCCCCACAGACACCCCATAGAGCCCCCCATAGACACCCATAGACCCCCATAGACACCCATAGAGACCCCATAGACACCCCACAGCCCCCCATAAACACCCCAAAGACCCATAGAGCCCTACAGACACCCCATAGACACCCATAAACACCCCATAGACCCCCCATAGACACCCCATAGCCCCCCATAGGGACCCACAGAGCCCTATAAGGACCCCATAGACACCCCATAGACCCCCATAGACACCCCATAGACCCCCATAGACACCCCATAGACCCCCATAAACCACCACAGACACCCCATAGACCCCCATTGACCCCCATATCCGCCCCATAGCCCCCCCGTACCGGTGCTGCGGGGGAAATGGGGGATGTCTCCGTAATCGAAGCTCTGCGGATCCCGCAGCTCCTGCCCCAAAGCCCCCAGGCCGGAGCCGCACACGAGGCCCACGAGCGGCGCCTGCTTCAAGCGGGCCCGGAGCCAGGCCGCGGCCTCCGAGCAGGCCTCGTAACTACGACAAAGACCAGGCCTCAATTCACCCCCAACGCGTTCTGATTGGCTCCCCGCACGCCTTCCTGGCTTCCCATTGGTCGAGCCACACCGTTAAGCCCGCCCACAGCTGCGCGCATGCGCGCGAGGGCCTCACCTCCCCTCCATGGCGCCGCGCCGGTCTCCCGCCTAGCGCTGAGGGAAGCGGCGGCTTATATAGGGGAGGCGGCGTGGTGACGTCAGCGCGCACGGCCGAGGGAGGGCCAATGGGAGGAGGGTTGCTATGGGAACGGGGGTGGGGAGAGAGGAGCCAATGGGAGGGAGCGGGGCGTTGCTATGGGAACCAAGGGGCGGGGAAACGGGGGCCAATGGGAGGGCGCGGGGCGTTGCTATGGAGACGGGGGTGGGGAGAGCGGAGCCAATGGGAGGGAGCGGGGCGTTGCTATGGGAACGGGGGCGGGGAAACGGGAGCCAATGGGAGGGAGCGGGGCGTTGCTTAGCAACGGGGGTGGGGAGAGCGGAGCCAATGGGAGGGCGCGGGGCGTTGCTATGGGAACGGGGGTGGGGAGAGCGGAGCCAATGGGAGGGAGCGGGGCGTTGCTATGGGAACGGGGGTGGGGAGAGGGGAGCCAATGGGAGGGCGCGGGGCGTTGCTATGGGAACGGGGGCGGGGAAACGGGAGCCAATGGGAGGGCGCGGGGCGTTGCTATGGGAACCGGGGAGGGGAGAGCGGAGCCAATGAGAGGGCGCGGAGCGTTGCTATGGGAACCAAGGGGAGGGGAAAGGGGAGCCAATGGGAGGGAGCGGAGCGTTGCTATGGGAACGGGGGTGGGGAGAGCGGAGCCAATGGGAGGGCGCGGGGCCTTTGCAATGGTAACGGGGGGTGGGGAAAGCGGAGCCAATGGGAGGGAGCGGGGCGTTGCTATGGGAACCAAGGGGAGGGGAAACGGGGGCCAATGGGAGGGAGCGGGGCGTTGCTTAGCAACGGGGGTGGGAAGAGAGGAGCCAATGGGAGGGCGCGGGGCGTTGCTATGGGAACCAAGGGGCGGGGAAAGGGGAGCCAATGGGAGGGCGCGGGGCGTTGCTATGGGAACCAAAAGGAGGGGAGACGGGGGCCAATGGGAGGGCGCGGAGCGTTGCTATGGGGACGGGGGTGGGGAAAGCGGAGCCAATGGGAGGGCGCGGGGCGTTGCTATGGGAACGGGGGGTGGGGACAGCGGAGCCAAGGGGAGGGCGCGGGGCGTTGCTATGGGAACCGGGGATAGGAAACGGGGGCCAATGGGAGGGCGCGGGGCGTTGCTATGGGAACCAAGGGGCGGGGAAACGGGGGCCAATGGGAGGGCGCGGAGCGTTGCTTAGCAACGGGGGTGGGGAAAGGGGAGCCAAGGGGAGGGCGCGGGGCGTTGCTATGGGAACGGGGGTGGGAAGAGAGGAGTCAATGGGAGGGCGCGGAGCGTTGCTATGGGAACCAAGGGGCGGGGAAACGGGGGCCAATGGGAGGGCGCGGAGCGTTGCTTAGCAACGGGGGTGGGGAGAGCGGAGCCAATGGGAAGGGAGGCTTGGAGACGGGGGTGGGGAGAGCGGAGCCAATGGGAGGGCGCGGGGCGTTGCTATGGGAACCAAGGGGCGGGGAAAGGGGAGCCAATGGGAGGGAGCGGGGCGTTGCTATGGGGACGGGGGTGGGGAGAGGGGAGCCAATGGGAGGGCGCGGGGCGTTGCTATGGGAACCAAGGGGCGGGAAAGGGGAGCCAATGGGAGGGCGTGGGGCGTTGCTATGGGAACCAAGGGGAGGGGAAACGGGGGCCAATGGGAGGGCGCGGAGCGTTGCTTAGCAACGGGGGTGGGGAGAGGGGAGCCAATGGGAGGGCGCGGGGCGTTGCTATGGGAACCAAGGGGAGGGGAGAGCGGAGCCAATGGGAGGGCGCGGGGGGTTGCTATGGGAACCAAGGGGCGGGGAAACGGGAGCCAATGGGAGGGAGCGGGGCGTTGCTTAGCAACGGGGGCGGGGAAACGGGAGCCAATGGGAGGGAGCGGGGCGTTGCTTAGCAACGGGGGTGGGGAGAGAGGAGCCAATGGGAAGGGAGGCTTGGAGACGGGGGTGGGGAAAGGGGAGCCAATGGGAGGGAGCGGGGGCGTTGCTATGGGAACCAAGGGGAGGGGAGAGCGGAGCCAATGGGAGGGAGCGGGGCGTTGCTATGGGGACGGGGGTGGGGAGAGGGGAGCCAATGGGAGGGAGCGGGGCGTTGCTATGGGAACCAAGGGGAGGGGAAACGGGGGCCAATGGGAGGGCGCGGGGCGTTGCTATGGGAACGGGGGTGGGGAAACGGGAGCCAATGGGAGGGCGCGGGGCGTTGCTATGGGAACGGGGGTGGGGACAGCGGAGCCAATGGGAGGGCGCAGGGCGTTGCTATGGGGACGGGGGTGGGGCTTAAAGGGAGCCAATGGGGGTTAAGGGGCATGGCTTATGGGGGACTTCAATGGGGGCTTAGAGTGGGAGGGGCTTAAAGAGGTGGGGCCTAAAAGGAGCCAATGGGAGGGCGCAGGGGCGTTGCTTAGCAACGGGGGTGGGAAGAGAGGAGCCAATGGGAAGGGAGGCTTGGAGACGGGGGTGGGGAAAGGGGAGCCAATGGGAGGGCGCGGGGCGTTGCTATGGGAACCAAGGGGCGGGGAAAGGGGAGCCAATGGGAGGGAGCGGGGCGTTGCTATGGGGACGGGGGTGGGGAGAGGGGAGCCCATGGGAGGGCGCGGGGCGTTGCTATGGGAACCAAGGGGCGGGGAAACGGGGGCCAATGGGAGGGAGCGGGGCGTTGCTATGGGAACCAAGGGGCGGGGAAACGGGGGCCAATGGGAGGGCGCGGGGCGTTGCTATGGAGACGGGGGTGGGGAGAGCGGAGCCAATGGGAGGGCGCGGGGCGTTGCTATGGGAACGGGGGCGGGGAAACGGGAGCCAATGGGAGGGAGCGGAGCGTTGCTATGGGAACGGGGGCGGGGAAACGGGAGCCAATGGGAGGGAGCGGGGCGTTGCTTAGCAACGGGGGCGGGGAAACGGGAGCCAATGGGAGGGAGCGGGGCGTTGCTATGGGAACGAGGGTGGGGAAAGCGGAGCCAATGGGAGGGCGCGGAGGGTTGCTATGGGAACGGGGGTGGGAAGAAAGGAGCCAATGGGAAGGGAGGCTTGGAGACGGGGGTGGGGAGAGCGGAGCCAATGGGAGGGCGCGGAGCGTTGCTTAGCAACGGGGGTGGGGAAAGCGGAGCCAATGGGAGGGAGCGGGGCGTTGCTTAGCAACGGGGGTGGGAAGAGAGGAGCCAATGGGAGGGCGCGGGGCGTTGCTATGGGAACCAAGGGGAGGGGAAACGAGGGCCAATGGGAGGGAGCGGAGCGTTGCTATGGGAACCAAGGGGCGGGGAAAGGGGAGCCAATGGGAGGGCGCGGGGCGTTGCTATGGGAACCAAGGGGAGGGGAGAGCGGAGCCAATGGGAGGGCGCGGGGCGTTGCTATGGGGACGGGGGTGGGGAGAGGGGAGCCAATGGGAGGGCGCGGGGCGTTGCTATGGGAACCAAGGGGCGGGGAAAGGGGAGCCAATGGGAGGCCGCGGTGCGTTGCTATGGGAACCAAGGGGCGGGGGTAATAGAAGGGTCACGTGAGGCGCGCTGCCCAATAGGAAGCGGAGGGGAGGTCGCTTAGCAACGGGGCTACGGGGGGGGGTGGGTGTATGGGGCGGATCACGTGTTCTCCGCTGGCCAATGGGAAAAGGAAAGGCAGGGGGCGGAGTGGGGAGCGCGGAGCCAATGGGAGGGCGCGGTGGTTGCTTAGCAACGCGGGGGGAAGGCGGGATGGGGGGGAGTCACGTGAGACGCACTGGCCAATGGGGAGCGGAGGGTTGCGGTCTCTTAGCAACGGAGGCGGGGAGCTCGCAGCCAATGAGAAGGCGCGGTGGTTGCTTAGCAACGCTGCGGGATGGGGATGGGGGGGAGAGGAGTCACGTGATGCGCGCTGCCCAATGGGGAGCCGAGGTTGCGGTCGCTTAGCAACGGAGGCGGGGAGCTCGCAGCCAATGAGAAGGCGCGGCGCGTTGCTAAGCAACAGCGGGGGGGGGGGGAATAGAAGGGTCACGTGAGGCGCGCTACCCAATAGGAAGCGGAGCGTGTTCTCCGCTGGCCAATGAAAGAAGGCGGAGCGGAGCCAATGGGAGAGCGAGGCGGTCGCTTAGCAACGGAGGCGGGGAGCTCGCAGCCAATGGGAAGGCGGGACTCGTTGCTAAGCAACGGGGTGGAGCGGGAAGGAGCCAATGGGAAGCCGCGGTGGTTGCTTAGCAACGCTGCGGGATGGGGGGGGAAGAGAAGTCACGTGATGCGCGCTGGCCAATGGGGATCGAAGGTTGCGGTGGCTTAGCAAAGGAGGCGGAGAGCTCGCAGCCAATGAGAAGGCGCGGCGCGTTGCTAAGCAACAGCGGGGGGGGCGGGAATAGAAGGGTCACGTGATGCGCGCTGGCCAATGGGAAGCGGAGGGTGTTCTCCGCTGGCCAATGAAAAGAGGCGGAGCGGAGCCAATGGGAGAGCGAGGCGGTCGCTTAGCAACGGAGGCGGGGAGCTGGCAGCCAATGGGAGGGCGCGGTGGTTGCTTAGCAACGCTGCGGGGGGGGGGGGGAGAGGAGTCACGTGATGAGCGCTGGCCAATGGGGAGCGGAGGGTTGCGGTGGCTTAGCAACGGAGGCCGGGAGGGAGGGGGCAGCGGGTCACGTGCTCGGAGGCGGCCAATGGGGGGGGGGGGGAGCGAGCACGTGATGAGGGGAGGGCCAATCAGAGGGCGGGGGGCGTGGCCTGGCGGCATCATGGCGGACGGGGAGCGCTCGCCGCTGTTACCGGTGGAAGCGGGGCTGGGGGGGGGGGGTGAGTGCGGGGAGGGGGCGGGGCCTAACGGGGAGGGGGCGGGGTTTAAAGGGGAGGGGGCGGGGTTTAAAGGGGAAAAGGGGGGGTAGGGAAGGGGGCGTGGCCGAGCTCTGCTCCCATTGGTCCCTTTCCCCCCCCTTTATGTCCTTTTAAGGTGAGGCCCCGCCCCCTTACTCGCCATTGGTCAGCCCCGAAGGAGGCGGGAGCAGCGGAAGCGACGGAGGCGGGGGGAGAGGGGCGGGGCCGTCGGTCACGTGCCGCGTGTGCCAGCGGCCAATCAGCGTGGAGGGCAAAGGGCACCAGCACGTGGTCAAGTGCGGGGCGTGCGGGGAGGCCACGGTGAGGGGGCGGGGCTTAAGGGGGAGGGGCTTAAAGGGGTGGGGCTTAAAGGGGGAGGGGTTTAAGGGGGGAGGGGTTTAAAGGGGAGGGGCTTAAAGGGGGAGGGGTTTAAATGGGAGGGGCTTAAAAGGGGAGGGGCTTAAAGGGGGAGGGGTTTAAAGGGGAGGGGCTTAAAGGGGGAGGGGTTTAAAGGGGAGGGGTTTGAAGGGGGAGGGGCTTAAAGGGGGTGGGGCTTAAAGTGGGAGGGGCTTAAAGAGGGAGGGGGTTTAAGGGTTGGGAGGGGCTTAAAAGGGAGGGGCTTGAGGGAGGGGCTTAAAGTGGGAGGGGTTTAAAGGGGAGGGGCTTAAGGGGGAGGGGTTTAAAGGGGGAGGGGCTTAAAGGGGAGGGGCTTAAAGGGGCAGGGCTAAAAGGGAGAGGCCTAAAGGGGAGGGGCTTAAAGGGAGGGGTTTAAAGGGGAGGGGTTTAAAGGGGGAGGGGTTTAAAGGGGGAGGGGTTTAAATGGGAGGGGTTTAAAGGGGGCGGGGCTGGATAGGGGGGCGGGGCTTTGCGATGGCGCCTCCTATGGGGGGGAAGGGCGGGGCTTGAGGGGGCGGGGTTTAAAGGGGGGAGGGGTTTAAAGGGGGCGGGGCTAAAGCTGTGGAGGGGGAGAAAGGGGGCGGGGCTTTGCAATGGTGCCCTATATTGTATGAAAGGGGCGTGGCTTAAGCACGGCTCCTTATATGGTATGAATGGGGGGCGTGGCTTCAGCATGGTGACCCCTATGGGTGGGAGGGAAAGGAGGCATGGCTTAACCATGGCTCCTTATATGGTATGAAGGGGGCGTGGCTTCACCATGGCGCCCCTATGGGTGGGAGGGGGAAGAGGGCGGGGCTTGAAGGGGGTGTGGCTTAGCATTGGTGCCTTATATGGCATGAAGGGGGCGTGGCTTAAGCACGGCTCCTTATATGGTATGAAGGGGGCGGGGCTTCATTATGGTGCCCCCTATTGGTGGGAGAGGGGGGGAAAGGGAGGCGGGGCTTGAATGGGGCGTGGCTTAGCATTGGTACCTTATATGGCATGAAGGGGGCGTGGCTTAAACATGGCTCCTTATATGGTATGAAGGGGGGGGTGTGGCTTCATTATGGTGCCCCCCATTGGTGGGAGAAGGGGGAAAGGGAGGCGGGGCTTGAAGGGGGCGTGGCTTAGCATTGGTGCCTTATATGGCATGAAGGGGGTGTGGCTTAACCATGGCTCCTTATATGGTATGAAGTGGGCGTGGCTTCATTATGGCGCCCCCTATTGGTGGGAGAGGGGGGGAAAGGGAGGCGGGGCTTGAAGGGGGCGTGGCTTAGCATTGGTGCCTTATATGGTATGAAGGGGGCGTGGCTTAACCATGGCTCCTTATATGGTATGAAGGGGGCGGGGCTTCATTATGGCCCCTGCTATGGGGGGGGAATAGCCGTGGCTTGGAGGGGGCGTGGCTTGAGCTTGTTGCCTTATATGGTATAAAGGGGGCGTGGCTTCATTATGCCCCCCCCCCCCCGGGTAGGAGGCTGAAAGGGGCGTGGCTTGGATGGGGCGTGGTTTACCCCATGCGCCATATATGGCTAGGGGGGCGTGGCTTAGCGTTGATGCCTTATATGGCATAAAGGAGGCGTGGCTTCACCTATGGGTGGGGAAAGGGGGGGGGGAGAAAGAGGAGGCGGGGTTTAACCCGCGCGCCTTATATGGTATGAATGAAAGGGGGGGGCGTGGCTTTGGCCTTATATGGCTTAAGCCCCGCCCCCTTGCCTTGCCCTCAGCCAATCAGGACGGCCCCTGCGGGGAAGAAGTACGTGCGGTGCCCCTGTAACTGCCTCCTGGTGTGCAGTGGGGCAGCGCAGCGCATCGCCTGCCCCCGGCCGTACTGGTATGGGGGGCGCTATGGGGCGCTATGGGGCGCTATGGGGCGGGTATGGGGGGATATGGGGGATATGGGGGGATATGGGGGGGATATGGGGGGATATAGGGGGGTATGGGGGGGGATATGGGGCGGATATGGGGACATGGGGGGATATGGGGCGGATATGGGGGGGATATGGGGGGGCTATGGGGCGGCTATGGGGGCTATGGATATGGGGGGATATGGGGGGGCTATGGGGGGATCTATGGGGGGTCTATGGGGGGATCTATGGGGAGCTATGGGGGGATATGGGGAGCTATGGGGGGGATATGGGGGGGATATGGGGGGATATGCGGTCAGTGGGGGGAGATATGGGGGTCAATGAGGGGGATATGGGGGGGATATGGGGGGGATATGGGGGGTATGGGGGATATGGGGGGGATATGGGGGGATATGGGGGGGTATGGGGGGCTATGGGGGGATATGGGGGGGGATATGGGGGGGATATGGGGGGGATATGGGGGGGATATGGGGGGATATGGGGGGAGATATGGGGGGGTTTATGGGGGATATGGGGCGCTATGGGGCGCTATGGGGGGATATGGGGCGGGTATGGGGGGTTATGGGGGGATATGGGGGGCTATGGGGGGATATGGGGGGATATGGGGGGGATATGGGGGTTATGGGGGGGATATGGGGGGATATGGGGGGATATGGGGCAGATATAGGGCAGATATGGGAGGCTATGGGGCGCTATGGGGGGTTATGGGGGGATATGGGGCGGATATGGGGGGGATATGAGGGGCTATGGGGGGGCTATGGGGGGGCTATGGGGCAGATATGAGGGGTATGGGGGGGATATGGGGGGCTATGGGGGGGATATGGGGAGCTATGGGGGTCTATGAGGAGGTTTGTGGGGCTATGGGGGACTATGGGGTCTATGGGGTGTCTATAGGGGTGTATGGATGGCCTATGGGCGGTCTATGGGGTGTCTATGGGGGCTGTGTGGTGTCTATGGGGTGTCTATGGGGTTCTACGGGGGTCTATGGGGCGCTAAGGGGGTCTATACGGCTGTATGGGGTCTCTATGGGGTGCTATGGGGTCTCTATAGGGGTCTATGGGGCTCTTTGTGGTTTCTATGGGGGTCAATGTGGGTCTCTATGGGGTCTCTATGGGGTATCTCTGGGGTGCTAAGGGGGTCTCTATGGGCTCTATGGGGCCTCTATGTAGGGTCTATGGGTCCCTATGGGTCTCTATGGGTCTCTATGGGTCCCTATGGGTCTCTATGGGTCTCTATGGGGTCTCTATGTGTCTCTATGGGGTCTCTATGGGTCTCTATGGGTCTCTATGGGGTCTCTATGGGGTCTCTATGGGGTCTCTATGGGTCTCTATGGGGTCCCTATGGGTCTCTATGGGGTCTCTATGGGGTATCTATGGGGAGCTAAGGGGGTCTCTATGGGCTCTATGGGGCCTCTATGTAGGGTCTATGGGTCTCTATGGGTCCCTATGGGTCCCTGTGGGTCTCTATGGGTCTCTATGGGTCCCTATGGGTCTCTGTGGGTCTCTATGGGTCTCTATGGGTCCCTATGGGTCTCTATGGGTTCTCTATGGGTTCTCTATGGGTCTCTATGGGTCTCTATGGATCTCTATGGGTCTCTATGGGTCTCTATGGGTCTCTATGGGTGTCTATGGGTCTCTATGGGTCTCTATGGGTCTCTATGGGTTCTCTATGGGTCTCTATGGGTCTCTATGGGTCTCTATGGGGTCTCTATGGGTCCCGCAGCAAACGCATCATCAACCTGGGCCCGGTCCAGGCCGGAGCCGCGAGCCCGGAGCCGCCAGCAGGGGGCGTGCGCGTGGCCTGCGGGCACTGCGGGGGCCCCTTCCTGGTGAGAGCGCCCCCTGGCGGCGGGGAGGACCCGGGGGTGGGCGGGGGGAGACCCATAGATGGGTGTACCAGACCCTATATACAGATCGCAGCCCCATAGATGTGGGTCCAGCCCTATATATGGATCTCAGCCCCATAGATATGGGTCCCAGACCCTACATACAGATCCCAGCCCCATAGATGTGGGTCCCAGCCCCATAGATGGTGGTCCCAGCCCCCTCTATATGGATCCCAGCCCCATAAGTGTGGGCCCCAGCCCCATGGATGTGAGTCCCAGGCCTTATATACAGATCCTAGCCCCATAGATGTGGGTCCTGCCCCCTCTATATGGATCCCAGCCCCATAAGTGTGGGTCCCAGCCCCATAGATGTGGGTCCCAGACCCTATATACAGATCCCAGCCCCATAGATGTGGGTCTCTGCCCCACAGATGTGGGTCCCTGCCCCATAGATGTGGGTCCCAGCCCCATAGATATGAGTCCAGCCCCCTATATATGGATCCCAGCCCCATAGATGTGGGTCCAGCCCCATAGATGTGGGTCCAGCCCCATAGATGTGGGTCCCAGACCCTATATACAGATCGCAGCCCCATAGATATGGGTCCTAGCCCCATAGATGTGGGTCCCAGCCCCATAGATGTCAGTCCCGACCCCTATATATGGGTCCCAGCCCCATAGATGTGGGTCCCAGCCCCATAGATGTGGGTCCAGCCCCATAGATGTGGGTCCAGCCCCATAGATGTGGCTCCAGCCCCATAGATATGGCTCCAGCCCCATAGATGTGGGTCCCAGCCCCATAGATGTGGGTCCCAGCCCCATAGATGTGGGTCCCAGCCCCATAGATGTGGGTCCAGCCCCATAGGTGTGGGTCCCTGCCCCATAGATGTGGGTCCCAGACCCTATATACAGATCCCAGCCCCATAGATGTGGGTCCCAGCCCCATAGATGTGGGTCCCAGCCCCATAGATGTGGGTCCAGCCCCATAGATGTGGGTCCAGCCCCATAGATGTCTCTCCCATCCCTTGCAGTGGGCCGAGCTCTCGGACCGCGCCCTCGCCCGCTGCCCTCACTGCCGCAAGGTGTAAGTGTCACGTGACCTCCAAGAGCAGGGGGGGCGGGGTTTTAAAGCTAAGCCCCGCCCCCTTTTCCCGCTGACGTCACACTTCCCAGGTCCGCCATTGGCCGGCGGTTGCCGCGGCGACGCTGCCTCTGCTGCCTCCTATTGGCTCTGCTCATGGCCGGGGCGGCCGCGGGGCTGGCGGTGAGGGGCGGGGCTTAAAGGGGGCGGGGCTTAAAGGGGGCGGGGTTTAAAGGGGGCGGGGTTTAAAGGGGGGCGGGGCTAAAGGGGGGGAGCCGCAGCCAATGGGAGCGGGGCTTGGGGGGGGGGGGGGTGTGGTGCTATGGCGCCCCCTAGGGTAAGGAGGGGGCGTGGCCTAAAGGGAGGGGGCGTGGTTTGAAGGGGCCAATGGGAGTTAAGGGGTGGGGCTTAAAGGGGGCGTGGCTCTATGGGGAGGGGGCTTCAATGGGGGCTGGAAGTGGGAGGGGCTTAAAGGGGTGGGGCTTAAAGGGAGCCAATGGGGGTTAAGGGGCGTGGCTTAAAGGGAGCCAATGGGCATCAAGGGGTGGGGCTTAAAGGGGTGGGGCTCTAAGGGGGCCTATGGGGAGGGGGGGCTTCAATGGGGGGGCTGGAAGTGGGAGGGGCTTAAAGGGGTGGGGCTTAAAGGGGAGCCAATGGGGGTTAAGGGGTGTGGCTTATGGGGGGCTTCAATGGGAGTGGGAGGGGCTTGAATGGGGCGGGGCTTAAAGGGAGCCAATGGGAGTCAAGGGGTGGGGCTTAAAGGGGGCGTGGTCTATGGGGCTCTATGGGGAGGGGGCTTAAAGGGAATGAATGGGGGCTGGAAGTGGGAGGGGCTTAGGGGGCCAATGGGGGTGGGGCTTAAAGGGAGCCAATGGGCATCAAGGGGTGGGGCTTAAAGGGGGCGTGGTCTATGGGGCTCTATGGGGAGGGGGCTTGAAGGGAATGAATGGGGGCTGGAAGTGGGAGGGGCTTAAAGGGGTGGGGCTTAAAGGGGACCAATGGGCGTTAAGGGGGCGTGGCTTATGGGGGACTTCAATGGGGGCTTAGAGTGGGAGGGGCTTAAAGAGGTGGGGCCTAAAGGGAGCCAATGGGGGTTAAGGGGGCGTGGCTTATAGGGGGGTTCATAAGGTCAATGGGATCCTAAAGTGGGAGGGGCTTGAAGTGGGCGTGGCTTGAGCGGGCCAATGGGCTTAAAGGGGCGTGGCTTATGGGGGCATCGGTGGGGCTGCATGTGGGAGGGGCTTAAAGGGGGCGTGGTCTAAAGGGACCAATGGGTGTTAAGGGGGGGCGTGTCCCTGACTCGGCCCCGCCCCCTTTTTAACCCCCCTCTTCCCTCCTCTCGTCCAATCAGGTGCTGACTTGGGGGGTGTCGCGGAAGCTCCGCCCCCTTCACGCGGGTTGGGCCCTGCTGGGGGCGGGGTCTGGGGCCTGCCTGCTGCGGGCGGCCTATTGGGGCTGCGTGAGGGTGAGCCGCGCCCTGCCCGCCCGCCCATGATTGGTTGGTTGGGGGCGGGTCACGTGGCGCCGGGCGCTGGCTCCCATTGGCTGTCCGCTAATGGGTCATGTGATGCGGAGCGGTGGCTACTGGGGGGGGGGGGGGGGGGCGGCCATGTTGGATCTGCCCCATTGGTGTGATGGGGGCGGCCATCTTGGATTCACCCCCACGTGACGGCGGCCATCTTGGATTCATGCGACACATGGAGGCGGCCATCTTGAATTCACCCCCCACGTGATGGCAGCCATCTTGGATTCATGCGACCCATGGAGGCAGCCATCTTGAATGCACACCCACGTGACTGTGGCTATCTTGGATTCATGCGACCCATGGAGGCAGCCATCTTGAATTCACTTCCACGTGACGGTTTCCATCTTGGACTCATGTTCCCCATGGAGGCAGCCATCTTGAATTCACCCCCACAAGATGGCGGCCATCTTGGACTCATGCTCCCCATGGAGGCAGCCATCTTGAATTCACTTCCACGTGATGGCAGCCATCTTGGATTCATGCGACACATGGAGGCGGCCATCTTGAATTCACCCACTCATGACAGCGGCCATCTTGGACTCACGCGACCCATGGAGGCGGCCATCTTGAACACACACCCCCTCATGGAGGCAGCCATCTTGAATTCTCCCCCATGTGACAGCAGCCATCTTGGACTCACGTGACCCATTGAAGTGTCCATCTTGGACTCACATGCTCATGCCGGTGGCCACCTTGGAGTCACGTGACCCATGAAGGCAGCCATCTTGAACTCACCCCCACGTGACAGCAGCCATCTTGGACTCACGCGACCCACGGAGGCAGCCATCTTGAATGCACCCCTCCATGGAGGCAGCCATCTTGAATTCACCCCTGCATGACGGCGGCCATCTTGGACTCACGCGACCCATGGAGGCAGCCATCTTGGGACCTACCCTGCCATGACGGCGGCCATCTTGGACTCTCACCCCCAGTGGCGGCAGCCATCTTGGACTCACCCTCCCCGCATGACCCCCACTCCCTTCCCAGCATGCACCGGGGCGAGGGGGGTGGGGTGGGGGGGGGGGGCCGGGGCCACCCCAATAGAGCCCCATTGAATGACAATGGCTTTTTGAAACCCAACTTAGCCCCATTTTGGGTCCATTTAGGCCATTTTGAGCTCACGCAGACCATAATAACCCCATCTAAGCACAATTGAGCCCCATTTATGGCCGTTGTGGTGCCATACAGACCATAATAACCCCACTGAAAACCAATTCAGATCCATTTACAGTACATTATAACCACATTGAGCTCAACAGCACCCCCATAACCCCATAGAGACCCCATAGAGACCCTACATAGACCATAATAACCCCATTTTAGCCCCATTTTCGCCCCATTTATGGCCATTTTGACCCCATAGAGACCAGAATAATCCTGTTTAGCCCAATTTTGACCCCATATCGACCAGCATAACCCCATTTTGGGGTCATCTTGAGCCCATATCGACCAGAATAACCCCATTTAGCCCCATTTTAGGGCCATCTTGACCCCATATTGACCAGAATAACCCCATTTAGCCCCATTTTGGGTGCATTTATAGCAATTTTGACCCCATATTGACCAGAATAACCCCATTTAGCCCCATTTTGGGTGCATTTATAGTCATTTTGACCCCATATCGACCAGAATAACCCCATTTTTGCCCCATTTAGCCCCATTTTGGGGCCATTTTGACCCCACATCACCCAGAATAACCCCATTTTAACCCCATTTAGCCCCATTTTGGGGTCATTTTGACCCCATATTGATAAGAATAACCCCATTTTAGCCCCATTTATGGCCATTTTGACCCCATAGCGACCAGAATAACCCCATTTTAGCCCCATTTATAGCCATTTTGACCCCATATCGACCAGAATAACCCCATTTAGCCCCATTTTGGGGCCATTTTGACCCCATATCGACACAAATAACCCCATTTTAGCCCCATTTTGGGACCATTTTGACTCCATATCGACCAGAATAACCCCATTTTAGCCCCATTTATGGCCATTTTGACCCCATAGCGACCAGAATAACCCCATTTTAGACCCATTTAGGGGCAATTTATGGCCATTTTGACCCCATAGCGACCAGAATAACCCCATTTTATGGCCATTTTGACCCCATATCGACCAGAATAACCCCATTTAGCCCCATTTTGGGACCATTTTGACCCCACATCACCCAGAATAACCCCATCCAACCCCAATTCAGACCCTGGATGGAGCCCCATAACCATGCCGTAGCCCCATATTAACCCAATAGAGACCATCATAACCCCATTGAAAACCTATGGAGAGCCGTTTATAGTACATTATAACCATACAGTGCTCGATGGCACCCCCCTAAGCCCACACAGACCATAATAACCCACACTTAGCCCCGTTTTGGGTCCATTTATGGCCATTTTGGTGCCCTGCAGACCATAATAACCGCATCGGACCCCAATTTAGCCCCATTTATGGCCATTTTGACCCAGTATGGACCATACTAACCGCATCGAAACCCATCACCGCCCCATAACCACCCCATCCCAAGACCATAACCCCGTATTAACCCCACACAGACCATAATAAGCCCATCTAAACCCCATTTCGTGCCACTTGGGGTCTAATTGTGCCCCATAACCACCCCATAAGAGCACCATAACCACCCCGTAATGACCCATAACCACCTCATCACCCCCTATGCCCCATAGAAGCCCAATACAGACCATAATAACCCCATCTAAACCCTATTTAGCCCCATTTTAGCTCCATTTACGACCCATAACCACCCTATAATACCCTCTACCCCATAGAAACCCAACCCAAACGCCTAATAACCCCACTAAACCCCCCTATAGACCCCCATAGACCACCCCATAACCCCCTAAACCCCATAGAAACCCAACCGAACCCCCTAATAACCCCACTAAAGACCCCCATAAACCACCCCATAACCCCCTCTACCCCATAGAAACCCACCCCAACCCCCTAACAACCCCACTAAACCCCCCTATAGACCCCCATAGACCACCCCATAACCCCCTCTACCCCATAGAAACCCACCCCAACCCCCTAATAACCCCACTAAAGACCCCCATAAACCACCCCATAACCCCCTCTACCCCATAGAAACCCACCCCAATCCCCTAACAACCCCACTAAAACCCCCTATAGACCATGCCATAACCCCTTCTACCCCATAGAAACCCAACCCAAACCCCTAATAGCCTTACTAAACCCCCTATAGACCCCCATAGACCACCCCATAACCCCCTCTACCCCATAGAAACCCACCCCAACCCCCTAAGAACCCCACTAAACCCCCTATAGACCCCCATAACCCCATAACCTCCTCTACCCCATAGAAACCCACCCCAACCCCTAATAACCTTACTAAAACCCCCTATAGACCCCCATAGACCACCCCTTAACCCCCTCTACCCCATAGAAACCCACCCCAACCCCCTAACAACCCCACTTAAACCCCTATAGACCCCCATAGACCGCCCCATAACCCCCTAAACCCCATAGAAACCCAACCGAACCCCCTAACAACCCCACTAAAACCCCCTATAGACCCCCATAGACCACCCCATAACCCCCTAAACCCCATAGAAACCCAACCGAACCCCCTAATAACCCCACTAAAGACCCCCATAAACCACCCCATAACCCCCTCTGCCCCATAGGAACCCACCCCAACCCCCTAACAACCCCACTAAAGACCCCCATAAACCACCCCATAACCCCCTAAACCCCATAGAAACCCACCCTAACCCCTAACAACCCCACTAAACCCCCCTATAGACCACCCCATAACCCCCTCTACCCCATAGAAACCCACCCCAACCCCTAACAACCCCACTAAACCCCCCCATAGACCGCCCCATAACCCTCTACCCCATAGAAACCCACCCCAAAAGCCCCTCACAGGGCCAAATAGAGCTCGACGGGGCAATGATCGCTGCCCATGACGCGGGGCCGGAGCTTGCAGTCGCACAAGGCCTCCCGGAGCCTCTCGGAGATGAGGAAGTAATCGAGACGCCAGCCCACGTTACGCTCCCGCGCGCCCCCCAAGTAGGTCCAGAAGGTGTAGGCGTGGGGCAGGTCCGGGTACAAGGCGCGGAAGGCGTCGACGAAGCCGGCCTCGAGGAGAGCGCCGAAACCTTGGCGTTCCTCTTCGGTGAAGCCCGGCGAGCGGCGGTTGGCGGCCGGATGCCGGAGGTCGAGCTCGGTGTGGGCCACGTTCAGGTCTCCCCCCAAGGCTACGGGTTTGCGGGCGTCGAGGCGGCGGAGGAAGGCCCGGAAAGCGGCGTCGAAGCGGAGGCGAGGCTCCAAGCGGGCCAGGCCCCGGCCGGCGTTGGGCACGTAGGCGCACACCACGAAGAGAGACGGGAACTCGGCCGTCACCACGCGGGCCGACGGGTCGTGCTCGGGGTCGTCTGGAAAGGGGGGGGTCGATGGGGGTCAGTGGAGGTCAATGGGAGTCAATGGAGGTCAATGGGAGTCAATGGGGGTCAATGGGAGTCAATGGAGGTCAATGGGGTCAATGGGAGTCAATGGGGGGCAATGGAAGTCAATGGGAGTCAATGGATGTCAATGGGAGTCAATGGGGGTCAATGGGAGTCAATGGAGGTCAATGGGAGTCGATGGGGGTCAATGGGAGTCAATGGGAGTCAATGGGGGTCAATGGGAGTCAATGGAGGTCAATGGGAGTCAATGGGGGTCAATGGCAGTCAATGGGGGTCAATGGGAGTCAATGGGGGTCAATGGAGATCAATGAGAATCAATGGAAGTCAGTGGGCGTCAATGGAAGTCAATGGGCGTCAATGGAAGTCAATGGAGATCAATGGAAGTCAACGGAGATCAATGGCAGTCAATGGGGATCAATGGGACTTAACAGAGGTCAATGGCAGTCAATGGCAGTCAATGGGGGTCAATGGGGGCACGTAGGCGCACACCACGAAGAGAGACAGGAACTCGGCCGTCACCACGCGGGCCGATGGGTCGTGCTCGGGGTCGTCTGGAAAGGGGGGGGTCGATGGGGGTCAATGGGGATCAATGGCGATCAATGGGGTCGATGGGGGTCAATGGAGGTCAATGGGAGTCAATGGGGGTCAATGGATGTCAATGGGAATCAATGGGAGTCAATAGGGGTCAATGGAAGTCAATGGATGTCAATGGAGGTCAATGGGAGTCAATGGGGGTCAATGGGGTCAATGGGAGTCAATGGGAGTCAATGGGGGTCAATGGGAGTCAATGGGAGTCAATGGGAGTCAATGGGGGTCAATGGGAGTCAATGGAAGTCAATGGGCATCAATGGAAGTCAATGGAGATCAATGGTAGTCAATGGGGATCAATGGGACTCAACAGAGGTCAATGGCAGTCAATGGGGGTCAATGGGGGTCAATGGGGGCACGTAGGCGCACACCACGAAGAGAGACGGGAACTCGGCCGTCACCACGCGGGCCGATGGGTCGTGCTCGGGGTCGTCTGGAAAGGGGGGGTTGATGGGGGTCAATGGGGATCGATGGGGGTCAATGGGAGTCAATGGGGGTCAATGAGAGTCAATGGGGGTCAATGGAAGGCAATGGGGATCAATGGGAGTCAATGGGGGTCAATGGGAGTCAATGTGGGTCAATGGGAGTCAATGGGAGTCAATGGGGGTCAATGGAGATCAATGAGGATCAATGGAAGTCAATGGGCATCAATGGAAGTCAATGGAGATCAATGGCAGTCAATTGGGATCAATGGGACTCAACAGAGGTCAATGGCAGTCAATGGGGGTCAATGCGAGTCAATGGAGGTCAATGGAAGTCAATGGGATCAATAGAAGTCAATGGGGGTCAATGGGGGCACGTAGGCGCACACCACGAATTGAGACGGGAACTCGGCCGTCACCACGCGGGCCGATGGGTCGTGCTCGGGGTCGTCTGGAAAGGGGGGGGTCGATGGGGGTCAATGGGGGTCAATGGGAGTCAATGGGGGTCAATGGGAGTCAATGGGGGTCAATGGGGTCAATGGATGTCAATGGAGGTCAATGGGAGTCAATGGAAGTCAATGGGAGTCAATGGGTGTCAATGGGAGTCAATGGGAGTCAATGGGGGTCAATGGAAGTCAGTGGGGTCAATGGGAGTCAATGGGAGTCAATGGGGGTCAATGGGAGTCAATGGGAGTCAATGGGAGTCAATGGGGGTCAATGGGGGTCAATGGAAGTCAATGGGAGTCAATGGGAGTCAATGGGAGTCAATGGGAGTCAATGGGAGTCAATGGGGGTCAATGGATGTCAATGGGAGTCAATGGGGGTCAATGGGATCAATGGAAGTCAATGGGGGTCAATGGATGTCAATGGAAGTCAATGGGAGTCAATGGGAGTCAATGGGGGTCAATGGGAGTCAATGGGGGTCAATGGGAGTCAATGGGGGTCAATGGGGGTCAATGGGGATCAATGGGAGTCAATGGGAGTCAATGGGGAGTCAATGGGGATCAATGGGAGTCAATTTGGAGTCAATGGGGGTCAATGGAAGGCAATGGGGATCAATGGGAGTCAATGGGGGTCAATGGAAGTCAATGGCAGTCAATGGAGATCAATGGCAGTCAATGGGGATCAATGGGGATCAATGGGACTCAACAGAGGTCAATGGCAGTCAATGGCAGTCAATGGGGGTCAATGGGGGTCAATGGGGGCACGTAGGCGCACACCACGAAGAGAGACGGGAACTCGGCCGTCACCACGCGGGCCGACGGGTCGTGCTCGGGGTCGTCTGGAAAGGGGGGGGTCGATGGGGGTCAATGGGGGTCGATGGGGGTCAATGGGGGTCGATGGGGGTCAATGGGAGTCGATGGGGATCGATGGGGGTCAGTGGGGGCAATGGGAATCAATGGGGGTCGATGGGGTCAATGGGAGTCAATGGGGTCAATGGGGAGTCAATGGGGTCAATGGGGTCAATGGGAGTCAATGGGAGTCAATGGGAGTCAATGGGGGTCAATGGGAGTCAATGGGAGTCAATGGGGGTCAATGGGGGTCAATGGATGTCAATGGAAGACAATGGGAGTCAATGGGAGTCAATGGGGGTCAATGGGAGTCAATGGGGGTCAATGGGGTCAATGGGAGTCAATGGGGGTCAATGGGAGTCAATGGGAGTCAATGGAAGTCAATGGAGATCAATGGAAGTCAATGGAGATCAATGGAAGTCAATGGAAGTCAATGGAGATCAATGGGGATCAATGGGACTCAACAGAGGTCAATGGCAGTCAATGGGCGTCAATGGAAGTCAATGGGGGTCAATGGGGGCACGTAGGCGCACACCATGAAGAGAGACGGGAACTCGGCCGTCACCACGCGGGCCGACGGGTCGTGCTCGGGGTCGTCTGGAAAGGGGGGGTCAATGGGGATCGATGGGGGTCAATGGAGGTCAATGGGGGTCAATGGGGATCAATGGAATTCAATGGGGGTCAATGGGGATCGATGGGAGTCAATGAAGATCAATGGCAGTCAATGGTGATCAATGGGAGTCAATGGGGTTCAATGGGAGTCAATGGGGGTCAATGGGGAGTCAATGGGGATCAATGGGAGTCAATGGGAGTCAATGGGGGTCAATGGCAGTCAATGGTGATCAATGGGAGTCAATGGGGGTCAATGGGAGTCGATGGGGGTCAATGGGGATCAATGGGAGTCAATGGGGGTCTATGGGATCCATAGGGGTCAATGGGGATCAATGGGAGTCAATGGGGATCAATGGGGGTCAATGGGAGTCAATGGGTTCAATGGGGAGTCAATGGGGGTCAATGGGGTTCAACGGGAGTCAATGGGAGTCAATGGGGGTCAATGGAAGGCAATGAGGATCAATGGGAGTCAATGGGGGTCAATGGGAGTCAGTGAGGATCAATGAGAGTCAATGGGAGTCAATGGGTGTCAATGGGGATCAATGGGAGTCAATGGGAGTCAACGGGCGTCAATGGGTGCTAATGGCAGTCAATGGGTGTCAATGGGTGCCAACGGCAGTCAATGGGTGTCAATGGCAGTCAATGGGTGTCAATGGGTGCCAACGGCAGTCAATGGGTGTCAATGGCAGTCAACGGCAGTCAATGGGTGCCAATGGCAGTCAATGGGAGCCAACAGCAGTCAATGGGTGCCAACAGCAGTCAATGGGCGTCAATGACAATCAATGGGTGTCAATGGCAGTCAATGGCAGTCAACGGCAGTCAATGGGTGCCAATAGGCGTCAATGGGCACCAATGGCAGTCAACGGGCGCTCACCGATGCCGTAGGTGACGCGCAGCGGCTCCTGCCGGCACAGCAGCCCCACGCCGCTGTAACCGGGCCTCCCCTCGGGGCTGGCCCAGTACTGGTGGGGCAGGGCCCGCAGCTCCCGCACCTCGGCCGGCACCGACGCCGCCCCACACTTGGTCTCCTGCAGGCACAGCACGTCCGGGGCCTGCTCCTGGACCCACTGCCATGGGGCGGGGGGGGGGACACGACAACACCGGGGTCAACGCACGCAAATTGGGGTGTTTTCACCCCAAAATAAGGGCGTTTCGACCCAAAATGGGTGGTTTTCACACCAAAATAAGGGCGTTTCGCCCCAAGACGTTTTTTTTTTGCCCCAAAATAAGGGCGTTTTGCCCCAAAATGGGGGTTTTCGATCCAAAATGGGTGTTTTTTGCCCCAAAATGGGGTTTTTTCGACCCAAAATAAGGGCGTTTTGCCCCAAAATGGGGGTTTTTCGCACCAAAATAAGGGCGTTTCACACCAAAATGGGGGTTTTCGACCCAAAATGGGTGTTTTTTGCCCCAAAATAAGAGCGTTTAACCCCAAATTGGGGGTTTTTCGCACCAAAATAAGGGCGTTTCACACCAAAATGGGGGTTTTCGACCCAAAATGGGTGTTTTTTGCCCCAAAATAAGAGCGTTTTGCCCCAAAATGGGTGGTTTTCGCAGCAAAATAAGGGCGTTACACCACAAAATGGGGGTTTTCGACCCAAAATGGGTGTTTTTTGCCCCAAAATAAGAGCGTTTTGCCCCAAAAATGGGTGGTTTTCGCACCAAAATAAGGGCGTTTCACCACAAAATGGGGGTTTTCGACCCAAAATGGGGGGGTTTCACCCCAAAATAAGGGCGTTTTGCCCCAAAATGGGGTGTTTTCACCCCAAAATGGGGGGTTTTCCCCAAAAAATGGGGTGTTTTCACCCATTTCCCCCCAAAATCCCCATTTTTGCCCCCAAAACCCCCATTTCCCT